CTATATATGGTCCTTGTTTGTCTCTTGCTTAATCATGCACCATGGTGTTTGTAAATTCAATAATAAGCATCCTAATTGTACACAGGACCAATCATGTTGATAGATAAACATGGTGTGGTAATGTGATACAGACAATGTGTGCCAACGGAATATTATTCTCACATGTTCCCACAGTTCAATTCGGCATTAGCAACGGAATACTGTATATCTGTTTGAACATTCTATTTGGTGTTAGAGACAGAATACATTTCCCACAGTTATATACTGCATTAACAAAGAATAACATATATATTTGAGCATTCTATTTCATGTTGTTTGATGTTAACCGAAATCACCCGTTCAGTGATTGGTTAAAGAATCTAAACTGTGTATACATAAACAACGGTGTAATCAATGAAAACTATACCTTTGTTTCTGTGTCTTATCTTATTCTGTTACAATCGAAGAGATGGAATTAGTTAGTTTATCTTTCATTCCCGAAAGTGAAATCAGAGGGATTTTGAAGGGAGAGAGAAAGAGCGTGTACTTCAGAGTCTCTGAATGCTGTTTCTACCGCAATCTTTAAGTTTTGTGTTACTATTTCGCTAGTGTTATCATCAGGGTACTGAAGGTCAATGACCCCTGAGTATTTTGAAACAATTACTGAGTGAAAATGGTTCCCGAAAGAAATTCATTCATTCATATGAATCTAGAGTCAAGGGAAGCCGAGGTACCAACATTTCTGAAAAAGACGGTCTTCTTTGTTCTAACTAACCATCGCCTTTTCAGTGTCTGAATAGGAATTTCCACTAAATCTTCTGATGGTTAAGTGGTAGATGGTGAACACCACATCAAAATAGATGAGTCATTTGCGGTTGTGTATGGAGTACCAAACAATCTCCGTAAAGACTCACGATTACGTATCTTAGCTACAGCGGAAGCTACAGAGATTGATAAGAACAAATCTGACGTATATGTGCAAAAGAAACACATCATCCTCTTTGTTTACCCTGGCCTACTACTATGCGGTCTGTAGGGACATGACCATTCATACTTTCATGTCATATTATGCCTTCTTATTCCTTTTCGCCTAGTTCACTCTACTCCATTATTACCTTTATTATGTGTCAACGTATTGTAATTTACAATAAGCTTATTATTATGTATTCAAGTGATGGTTTGTAGGGATTTGATTGGTTTCAGGATTTCATCATGAGCTGACATTAGTTAGAGAACCATTGGAAAACCTGCGAGTAGGTAGTTACCTGGGTTCCAGTGGAAAGTCGTGACCAGTAGGGTGCAGCGGGTCGGGTGTGCGGACAAATACTCGCCGAAGACATTGGCTATCGGTCGTGCTATGTCGTGAATTGGCAGAAGTTAGAATTCAAGGACCATTGGATCGGGTCACAGTGGCTTAATGATATACGAGCTCGCCTTGTACCCGGAAGGTCCTGGGTTCGAATCCCGGTGGGTGCGTACTGCTGAAGAGTCCCAAACTAGGACAAAGCAGCTGTCCAGTACTCCCAGGTTTTCCAATGGTTCTCTAACTAATGTCAGCTCATGATGAAATCCTTATTATTATGTGTCTAGTATTTTATTACAGTTCACAATCTGACGTCTTTATTTTATCAGTACACTTGATAAGTGTCAACCCTTGCTTGACTTGAACCTACATTCAATTGAGTGTTCTCCATTGTAGTTGGTATTTGTTTGTTTGTAGTATGTGTTTATTTTGTGGTATTGTTTTCCCTCGCACACTACTGAATATAACTCACCCTCACCTCCACTCAAACCTATATTCTGTTGACTATGAATAGAATACATTAGTGGTGTCACCCTTTAGTCTGTTTACACTTTATGTTATGTTCTGAATGGCTGGGCATTTTAACGTTCATTTGACAATATTATATATTGTGAACTATCACTACATATCATACATGTGTAATGACAGAAGGCAAGAGTCAGGCAACAGATCGTTTATTAATTAAGGAAATCAATACGCATTTATATATTTTCATGTACATTATTATAGACTATTCAAGCAAAGAGACACAGTCTTCAGATTGGTTGTTTCTCACTGAAAGTTAACCTTGCATCTCTTTTTGGCTGTTTCTTGAATGTCAGATCATCTATATGCTAACTGTATCCGCCTACGTAAAGTGTGCTGTGGTTGTTTTTTGAATCAGTCTTTGTTCATATTTTCTCACGACCAATATTTGGGACATACACATTGACGTAAATTAATATCTACCAATTCGGCTAGCAGCCTGCTCTCACCACACAATTTTCACACGCCTTTAATGTCTATTTGTATTATGATAATCATGGATTTATAAGTGTAGAGCCTGAGGAAGAAGAATTTATCGAAAACGGGTGTTCACTCCAGATCATCTTGTTCTGATTACGCCATGGGAATTTTCGGTGTGGTATTTGTTGCATATTTCTTCTTTATGTTCCCCTGTGATGATGGGAGTCAGCATAAGATAGTATGTCGTCTCCTTTCTGACGATTGGTGTGATTTATCTTGTCATGGAGTTACAATGTTGATGTATCATTTCTCACGAGTGCATGTTGTCATTTAGTGTGTGGTGAATTCATCATCTTTTGTGTCATATTGATCTTTTTCTGATCGCCAACGTTTGAGGATAGGCAGTGGCAACCAATCAGAAGAATTCTTTCTGACGACTGTGAGCCGACTTTATGGTTGTAAAGGAAATGTATAAATATGATGTTTTGTATCCTAAAAATCTACAATACAATAACTTATAGTCACCGACCGGCCTTTGTCTCTTGGTATTTGCCTGGCTCAGTGAATCGGAAGGTACAATGGACAGATAGGTATATTAGCGTAGGAGACGAGTTCATTACAGTTAGAACAATTACCAGGCGCAGACACATAACAAATTGCCGATGGTTTATTCAATTCAGTACCAGTTATAACAACTCTTTGTTGAACATAAAACTATTTGAATCTCTTTGTTCTTAACCCGTACATTCGCTTAGAAGCACAATGACAGTGCATTTTATGCTATGCGGTCTAGGTACCTCACAATTCGAGGTTTTTATATTCTGTTGACGGCCAAGGTAAACTTTAAGCACTACTAACTACCAATGGAATACGACAGCACCAATGACCTTGAAACGCTCACTGAGTAACTTAATGAAACCTGGCAAATAATTTTGTCATCATCAATAAAATACACTCATCGAAATGTTATGCTATTGAATGAGATTTCTAGCAAGTTTCACCTTAGGTCTGGGAAAGATTAAGTTACGCTTTAGGCCAAAGACAAGTTACGGTTAGGTTAACCTAATAGAGGCGACATTAGGGTTGGTTCGAGTTAGATTACAGTTAGTTTAGGGGTATTTTCACGTTAGAGTTAAGTTCAGGAAAGATTAGGGTTAGAAAACCTAAATAATTACTTGCATAGAATATGGTTAAATTACCCTGTTGATCTGAAAATAGAACTTGCGCGCTGTGGTAAAGTGTAATTGCATTGTGGGTAAAATTTATTTTTATAGTCTTACAGTGTTATACAGTAATATTTACTGATGACGTTTCGAGGACAATTTATTGCTCAGTGATTATTATTATATAACACTATGAGACTTTATCAAAGTAAATTTTACCCACAATGGAATTATACTCTGGTGATACTCCAACGTAAAACTGAAAGCTATTTTATCACATGTGGGAGAAAGGTATCATCTATAACGTTTTCATAAGGTTTTTATGCATTTTTTTCATAAATATATGTGTAATCCATACACAAAAATGCCTTCTTCACGTGATTGGTGCGTTCGAGATCATTTGCCGATTGAGAGTTAGAGGTGCTTAACGCTTAACTTTGGCAGCTTCTTATTGCTAGATATTTTGTCTTTGTGTAGAAACTTCAAGTAATAAAATAAACCAGTATATATCAACTTTGGAAATATTGTGTTCATCCAAAGCATACTCCAATAATCCACAATGTTCCTCTTCCATTTCTGTCAGCAAAATTCGTAGCAATAGAGGTTGAAACCTGCTTAAAATTCGCCTCAATATGTAACCCGTTTCTATTCCCTTTTTTTCTATTCCTTTACGTTCCCAGTGGAAAATAGAGCTTCAAGCTGGAGACTTGAAGTTTTTCTAGCAGTTGTGTTTATTTTTACAGGATGAAGTTGTTAGTCTCATGTCCAACCTTCCCTCTTTACCAGTCTTATTACTGGCTTAACGAGGTAAAGGAATGTGTCGCCGACCGGGAATCGAACCCCGGACCACCTGCGTGGTCGGTAAGCACTCTATCTTTGTGCCACCGACACACATCCCGTTTCTTAGACATGATTATATTATCAAAACACTATGAAATGGAGTAAACATTGATGTTTTTAGACGAATAGAAAGTTCAAGTAGCACAGTAATTTAAATAGGCCGCCAAGGTACCGTGATAAAAAGTTATAACAAACTAATTGAATCATTGAACTCAGAGGGCATAAATAAACCACTTTCACCCACTTGAGGTAATAAAAATCTTCTCTAACAATTCTAGAATAAAATCTTAAACATTTAAGTAGGAGATGAGATTGTTTTAGTGCTTCAAAACTGTTTTACTCTTCGGTTAGACTGTTCTTATAAAAATGTCGGGAAACTCATTCATTCTTTTAGAAAAACAAGAATCGAGAAATCAGTGTAAAGAATGAAATATGTATACATATATATATTTAATATTTGAATAAAAATATATTTTACATTTTTAGTTTTTAAATTATCATAAATAGTTACAGTATCTGTACAATGATGGTACGTTACGAAATATGTTACCATTTTACTCCTAGAAGAGTTTATCTTTGAAAACAAACCTATAGGCTGTTTTCTATCTTAGAAGAACATACCCTTAATCAAATCTGATGATGAATCGACTTTAGTTACAGTATTGGACAGATGTTTAGTCCTCCTTGTATGAGACTGTTCTCCCTTTCACAATACACACACCCATGACTTCACCTGGCATCGAATCCAGGAAAACACTAGGGAAACAAATTTAATCGTCAACAGAATCATCTATAAGAGTTGGATGAAATAATAGAGTAGACAGAAGAACTGTTATAAAATATATAATAAAAAATATTCTATCTAAAACAATACCAACTATTTTCCATTGTTCAATAATTCTCTCTTTTAAATCACGTTCTTTCAGTTCACCTTGTAATTGTCTTGCTGCTTTTGTTATATAACTAATATCTTGTTTAATACGTCTCAGTGACTGACGTTCTTTTTGAGTTAATTTTGATAGCTTATTCAAACTGATTGGATAGAAATGTTGTAAACGTGATGTAGACGGTTGAGGAATTGCTGCCTCCGGTTTGACTGATTGTTATTATTATTATTTTTTGTTAATTTTGTTTTATTTCTACTTGATGATTGATTCCAGTAGAGGGATTTTGAAAAATCTTCTATTATCTGATTACTTTTTGACTTTTGTTTCGGTGGAATTGTTGCTTGAATAATCTCTTCTTCATAGTTTTGATGGTAATGACGAGGAGGAGCGCGATGCTCGTGGAGATGGTGATCTTGAGGCTGTTCATTATTATTCCAATAATTTAACAGACTTATATTCTCTACATCAGTTTCATTTAACTGACAACTTATTATTCTATTGTCATCTGAACAAATATTTATTGGTAAGGAATAACGTGAATTTGTTAAATCTGTATTAGATGACATGCTGTACTGTCTATTATCTGAATGATTAGGCAACATATCATTTGTATTTTGATAATAATATATAGGTGAAGAGATATCCCCTGGATGATAACATTTACAAGTTGAATTAACCATTGAACACGTTGAACATTTCAATGGATTATTACTACTATTATTATCAATATTTTTATAAATCATTGCTGATTGGTTAATATTATGTTTGTTTAAATCACTAGATATTATATCTCTAGAGCGAAGTTCAAATGATGCTTGTTTAGATATGTTTGGATAATATGTGCAATATTTATCATTAGAATTAAAATAACGATCATAACAACTGTGGTGAGATAGTTTATTCCATTTTGGATTATCATGGATTGACGACAATGATCCAGATGCTGAATAATACAATGGATGATGTTGAGAATTTGACAGTTCTTTTAAACTTCCGCTACTACTACTATTATTATAATGAATTGTTTGTTTTTTATGAGTATTATTAACAGATGGCGTATTTTGTGATTCATATGGTATTGTACGAATTTTTAAGTGGACAGTTTCTTCAACCAATTCAAGTTCATCAATGTTGATACCAAGTAACCAACCCATGAGAGCTGTAAACTGTATATGTGTAAAGAAAAAGAAATCACTGTATATATTATAACAACTGTCGTCAAGCATACAAGTGATATCCACATTGAAAAAATAATTTAGAAATTGACTTCTCTATCAAAATAATTATCTGTATAACCGATGGAAAAATTGTATTTGTGTAGAAGCTTAATTGTGCTTTTTAAACCTTTAGGTTCGAAAGCGCAACATTAGGCAAATGAGGCAGGAGAAATCTATTGAACTTAATGGTGTAATTGAATGCCTAAATCTAATAACGCTAGTAGAATATTTGCTACTGTTAAAATACATAAACCAGGTTAGCCCATAAGACCAATAGTAGATTTCACAAACACTCAACTTTAATACTATATCCTATTAGAAATCATTCAAACTCTAGGCAAACTAATGCATATGAAATGAAAAAGAAACTAAATGACATTCAACTAGGGAATAATGAAAAAAAATGGTTAGTTTTGATATAACTAGTCTTTACACTAACATGCCAATCAATATGGCCTTGTAAGTAGTTAAAAGAGAACTAACTGCAGATCCTGAACTCACGCATGGAACAAAGCTGCCCATTAAGGAAATTATTTTAGGAATTCAGTTATGCCTCACATCTACTATCTTTAAATTCCAAGGCAAAATATATAGATAAACTGAAGGTATAGGAATGGGATCACCAATATCCCCTATCGTAACAATAAAATTCACATTTGAATCGGAAAATGAACAAGGAGAATTAGCTGTTATGTTAGATTGTAAAATGAAAAGAACAGAAGGTAGACTGCATACTAGCGTCTATAAAACCTAAGGCATTCTAACAGATATTTAGACTTTAATTTATCTCATCCGTCGTTGTCTGTAAAGGCAGGATTAGTTAAGTATCTAGCAAACCGAGCAGTAGCACTGGGTAGAATAAGAACAGATCTAAATGATGAAATGAAACAGATAGAAGAAGCGTTGGTGTTGAATAACTATCCTATAAAATTCATTAGGAAGATTGAAAGAGGTCAAAAGCAAAATAAAAATAGTGATGAAACTAATATTGATAACAAAAGTAAGAGAGATTATAAGGCATCTTCAGTAGTTCTACTATATAAGGAGGGGGACATCTGAGACCCTACGTAGGATTGTTAATAAAGCAGGAATTAGGGTGGCATTTAAACCTACAAACTCACTCAGGGACACACTCTGTAGGTTAAAGGATCCTGTAGGTTGACCCAATTAGACAAAATAATATAATCTACAAAATACCTTTGGTTGGACCCAGCATAAAATAATATATCATCCTTTCTCACGAATCATGAGATTTATCATGTGGTGGAGTTACTATGTTAATGTATCGTTTCTCACGCATACAGTGATTTAGTGTGTGACCAGTTCATCTTGTTTTCTCTCACCTTGATCTTTGTCAGATCAACAACCTATGAGGATAGATATATCCAACCTATAAAAAAACACATTCCCACGGTCGTGAGTCGACTTTCTTATGGTTAAGATAATGTATAAATATCATGTGTTGTCTCATCAAATGTAAAATACAATATCTTACAGTAACAGGTGCTGGCCTTTGTTTTTTGATATTTGGGTGGCTTAGTGAGTCGGAAGGCACAACAAACAAATATTAGCATATCAGTCGAGTTCATTACCGTTATATTAAGTAACAGGTACAGATATAACAGTTATACCAAATTGGTAACGGAGTTAATAACACCTTGCAATGACTGTGAGTTAAGTCAACTACATAGATCAAACCAGTAGATTGGAAGTAGTCGGATTGTCAGACCATAAGAATTTCGCTAAGGTAAGAATGATTGATCCCGCGAAGATATGTAATTTAGAAAAAAGCTCAGCAATAGCACTGCATGTATTAGCACACAATCACACAATAGGGTGGGTGGAACATAGTCAAAATTCTAAAAAGGAATATAAGGAGGTGAAGAGAAAGACTGATTACTGAATCGGGGAAATCTAGTCAAACACACGGAAAGGCATTCCTTATTCAATAGATAAAGGAAGCCTTGCAAACCATAAAGAGGATATAGTTCCTACTCTACTTTGGTTACTCATCACATCCTTCTGAATTCCTTAATCATTACTGATATAAGAATAAAACTTGGGCACTGTGGTAGAGTATAACTCCATTATGGATAAGATTTTATTTTAATAAATACCAAACGTTATACAGCAATATTAAGTGATCCTTAATCATTAACTAGGTGTGTGTGGTTTTAGCATAGTGTGTTTTCAAGGCCCTAGAATAATTCAGTCAGCTGGGACAAACAGGGATACTTTAATTTAGCAGAATACTTTCTTCATATCGTCTTGTTTTCAACTAACTACATTAGAAATCAACAAGGCTGTTATCACGATAGCAGAAGCGGCTGGATAGTTTTCTTGTGTATGCATAGCTCTGCTTTCTCTCTCTGAATGGTTAGAGCTCTAGTATCGCCAAGGGGACAAAACAGTATTGCCTTTGTCCGGTTGTCCTTCACTTTGAGGAAGACGTTTGTTGAGATGGGATAACCAGTGTTGACGAGATATTTGATTATCGCATTCCCTATGGAGAGAGCCAATACTAGCTTTCTGCAGCCATGAAGGATTATGTTCTTGAAATGTTTTAGAGAGGATACGCCACCTCGAATGACCGATATACCTGACTCCAGTGCAACAAGGAAACTGACTGTATGACGTGATATGATGATGAGCAATAAATTTGGTTTGAAATGTCACCCAGTAAATAATACTGTTTCGCCGTGTGATATATCTAATACACAAAATATGATTCTATGTTAACTGTCACTCTCCTGACTATTGGCCACTTCGAGCTTTAAAGGAGTTTCACATTTGATTTTTATTTATCGAGTAATTACATACCTCTAAGAGCATACTAATTGATAATATCTCATCATCTTGAGATCGTAAATTATCCCTCATTTCAACACCTATTAAAAAATTTTGTGTCACTGTCTCATTAATGTAATGCCTGCTTATTTTTATAGGTAAATATTTCCAGGGTTTTATTGAAATAAATTCTAAGCTATTAAGGGGTGTGGTGTTTAGTTGACATGTTAGATGTTAATCGTCACTGACTCAATTCACCCTTTATCTGATAAACTAATATAATCCCAGTGATTATAAAAGATTGTCTTCTCCATACACTGAGGTATCCGTCTTAAAAACTTCTGTCGGCTGGAAGGAATTGAAGAATATATCGATTTGATTTTAAACTACTCAAAAACAGTTGAATGAGAATCGTAATTAGACTCACACAGTTTAACCTAACGGGTAGTTCTGAATGGAACAACTGAATCTTTATTTCATACCACCTCAAAGTTGCCGATAGTCTTTCATCTCCTCCATGTCACCCTCGGACATACACCCAAACTGCTGTCTCCCACTAGTGGGAATGGAGCGCTATGTCACCTGACGGTCTTCATGGTGCCTACTTGATCTACCTTCATTTCTTTAATGATATCTTTCGAGCAATAGATTCTTGTTTGTTTCCTTCCCAGAGTGCGTCGTTGCTAATTCTTTCTGACCAGCGATCTGGTCTTGAGTATGGTACGAAGTCTTTCTGTGACGTGCCAAGTTCTTAACCCATATAGAAGAATTAATTTAACATTTGTTTTAAAAATCCGAATCTTGTTCTTTATGCCAAATGTTGTTCATTTACAAACTGGTTTCAGAGTGATGAAGGTGTAACTTGCCTCTCCGTGCAGAACGACAGCATAGTTGAAAGGATGAAGCCTGGATTTGTGATAATGATTGGTGCCTGTTGTTGTTAGTTGATTATTTTCATCACCTTCATCTTCTTTATGCTCACTTTAAATCCGGTCTTTTCTACCAGTTTGTTGGTTTCCACTCATAAGTCCTCGAATTCGAGACATTTAACTTAAATCATCCACGAAGTCCAGATCTTCTTTAGTTTTCTTATTGGTCCAGCATATCCCTATCTTCTCCTCCTCGACGGTGTGCCGTATAATCCAGTTAACGACAGCAGGAATATCATCAATGATGGTAGTAGGCAATCTTGGCTTACTCCGTCTTCACTTTAAAGACTTCTGTGAGTCCTTCAAAGCTACTATTATTATTCATGTAAACATTCACTCTACTTTTATATTATTAGTAGTCAAGAGCGAAATCAAGAAAATACATCCCATAACTTTTGAAATAACGAAAATAATGTTTCTATTAAATACATTAAAAACATATTTAGGGTCCCAATGAGTCCTTGTAATTAAACAAAATCACTGTTGAACAGTTCTTTATGAATTATTCGCAACTGAACAAAGCCTTTAACCAGTGGTTTTTCCTTCAAAGTAGTAGTGCAATTGAAATTATATCGAAGTATATAATTGTGATTGTACAGCTCTGGGGAATGAATTCGCCGAGAACTAGCTCTTCGCTGAATTACTGATTTCACTTTCATTTATTTAAAATCTGACAGTGTAATATATTATTATTATTATATCCTTTAATTCCTAGAGGAACATAGGGCTTCAGCTGATGATGATTCGATGAACTGTATTTTATATGCCATAGTATATAATAAAAGAATATGGTAGTAAAGAAATATTAACATGAAAGCGTTTATCAAGGAAAAGAAGTCATTATAGAACTGTCAAATCGTGATTCTGATGTACAGGGTTACATTACTGTCTGTTCTAATTACAAAAGATGTCAAGCGAGTGGTGTAGATGGTGTCAAGTAGGTTTTTAACACTTGTTATTTTTGCCATAAACACCCTATTCAAGGTATTACAGTCTCCAAAATCTCATCTCTCTCTCTCTCATAAACTACCTTATTGGCATGAAAACTTCATTAACGAATTAAAATTCTGTAAATCAAACCAACCAGGAACCGATTGTGAAACAAATAGGTAGGAAGAAATGGAGATGGATTGGCTGGCCATACTCTGAGGAAACCATCAAGTGACATCACTAGACAAGCCATTGCTCGAGTGGAACCTGGCCGAAAGGGAAGCGGCGAGTTGGTCGTCAATGCAAGGGTGACTTGGAGGATGTCATGTGAAGAGGAGATGAAAGCATGTGGTCAGACTTGGAGCGGGGTGAAAAGTTGGTAGAAAACTGAAGGCAATGGAGCTGCGCAGCTGAAGCCCTATGTTCCTCTAGGAATTAAAGGATATAATAATATAATAATAAATCAAAACCAAAATTTACATAGTTCGAGGAGATGAAATTTTACCACTGTTTCTTTTGGATGCCGAGATTATTCTGATCACAACCGTATGTGATCTGCTTGATGCTATAAGTGGTCATCAAGAAAACAAGCATAATTGCATGATGCTATATACTACTAGTCACTTGATGTGAGTAGTTGTATGACACTTACATCCACCAGTGGCTCTTGCTAGCCAGCCACATAGAAGCGATCAAAACACTAGACTTCCCTTCTACTTTTCTGGGGCTAGATTCATGCCAAGTTACGATTTAGGATATCAAACAGATTAAATATTGTGATCTGAATAATTTTAGCACCTAGACATTCTGTAGTGAAATTTCACCTCGAACTGTGCAAATCGTGAAAATGATTCAGTATATTACCAGTTCACCACATTAGTTAACCAAAATCGGATGGTTTGAACTGATTAGGCTCTCTGAACTGAATGAATCCTGATACACACTGCTGGTTATCAGGCAAGCTGGTAGACCATTAAGTCACTGGGACTGACCAAAGGTTGTGGGTCTGAACTTCAGTGGCTCCATACTGTGAAGAGTCCCAGACTAGTACGAGACAGCTGTCCAGTACTCCCAGGTGGGTTTTCCAATAGTCCTATAACCGATGTCAGTTCATGATGAAATCCTGAAACCAATCAAATCCCTGCAAACCAATACTTGAGTAACAAACAAATCATTACATTACTTATTCAAGAATGTAAAATTAACTTAGATGTTAATCACTTATATACTCATATTCTGTCACAATGGTTTCCAAACTTTTGGTATATATATTTTAAGACAGTTGGAAAACACTAAAGATTTAAAATTGAAACTGAAGATTACTCTACAAATCTTCCAAAGTATTAACGATTTAGTCTTCATCATAATCCTGTTTTGAAAGGAAACTCTTAAAGTCCTAATGAGGAAGACTTAACTCTCTGGATGGTCAATTCATAGAATGTGTTGAAAAATACTTCGACACTACTTTTTCATTTCTTTATCTTCCGAGTGAATCGGAAAGGCGAGATACGCCTTCATCAACCTGAAACCAGTTTGGTAATTTTCTGCACTCAGCCAGTACGAAGAACAAGTTTCGGATATTCAATACAAATGTCACGTGAGACAGTTCTTCTATATGGGTCAGAAAATTGCATAGCGTATCAGGAGAAGCATTTCCAACAGATTACAGACTTTCGTCAACAACTGCCCCCTTCACCGACTTCATACTGAACGTCAAATGGCAGCTGACATGACAGAAAGAATTAGCAAGTAAAAGCTCTGGCAACAAACCAGCAGAGAGCAGATTGCTGAACAAATATGTAGAAGAAATTCCATATGGATAGGGGACATGATGAGGAGGCGGCCGAATGATATCGCGCGCCAGGCCCTCGAGTGGAATTCCCACGGGAAGCGGCGAGTGAGTCGTCAGTGTTAAGGTGACATGGAGGAGATCATGTAGGCAGGAGGAGATAAGAGCTTATAGGCAGTGGTGCGCTCAGCCAGATGAAGAGGACAGCAGAAAATAGAACAGAGTGGAGATGTGTTGTTGAAGCCGTATGTTCCACTTGGAACCCAGGGGAATAATAATAATAATTGCCTTCTGAGTAGAACACAGGACTTCAATCTTACGCTTTGGAATTTTAGTAGCAAGAGTGTTTATTATTTTTTTTTTAGAAGGTAGGATTTTTAGCCTCACACCCAAATTTCCTATGTACTGGGTTTACTGTCCGATAAGAGAAGATTTGGAGTTCGTTAGCCGGAGATTATTCAACCCTGGATGAGTAAACCACCACTAAGTCACCGACTCACTAGGAAATACGTACACCCGACATCTTAGGACTATTTATCAGCAAACACCTAATACTTAAACACGCATACAGAAGTTATTGGATAGTAACCCTTCTAGAGATTTTTGTTTCATTTTCAATGTCGATAGAATTTCAATATAGTGACTGTGTGATATCATCTTTGGATAGTTGAAAACAATTAGCAGATAGTGATAGACTGCAGTTTCCTTGTCTTCAACCAGGCGACATGTACAAACTCGAACGACAACTTAGGCCCTCCATCGGGGATTTCAATCTGAATCACTGAATAATGCAGTCAGAGAAATTGCCACTGAGCTGTTCAAACTCCTACATGGCAATGTTTTTATAATACTTAGTAATAAACAATTAAGTGCAGATGATGCACTCATTATTAGTAATACTAGTAAGCCTATTGAAAACTTGTTACTCTGTTTAATCATATTCATCCAAATATCCATGTGACTTCCGAACTCGAATCGAATAACAGACTCGGTTTCCTGGATATTACAATGACCAGGAGAGACGATTAAGCGATCTATTTTTTGTAAACAGACACGGAGTGGACAATATCTTCATTTCACCAATTTTATTCCTATCCAGTATGAACCTTCCCTAGTGAAATGTTCGTTTTCAAGAATTTGAAAAATATGCACCAGCGACACGTTGATGGATGACCTTCAGAAATATTAGCTAATGGTTATCCAGAAAACTTTATCAGTTGTCACAGTAAGGATAGACCAAATCTTGAAAAGACACCTTCTGTACTTCTTTATTAACCTACCATTCAAGCAACGGTGGTCTAATTATGCATCTGACAGCTCAAAGACTTTGATCAGTCATCAAGCACACATTCTACGCCACATCTCTTTCCGTCACATCTCGAACATTTTCTATCCCTGTACCTAAGACTAAGGAAAGAAATTCTGTGGACTCTACTTCAAACTGTATCTACAAGTTCACCTGCAGTTGTAGTGACACCTATATAGGTAGGACCAATAAAATATAGAAAATCCTAATGCAATTAATCTGAATAGAAATCCATCATTATCCATTGCAAAACGCTTATTATTGTCAGGTCACAAAATCAATATTATTTCACATTACTCTAATTCAAGGTTATTGAAGGTGATCGAAGCATTTTGGATTAATCATATACAGCCAAAACTGTGTGTACAAAAAACAATAGACTTCATTCTTAGCCTACCATGCACTACATGACCTATCTAAGTATGATTGGTCATTAGTATGTACTTTTGTTTTTTTATTTAGCTGAGTAATTGTCATGAGCTTTATTTTATTATTGTTAACCATGTTAGTTGTAAGGCGTTTGTGAAGAATCTACGAAATGATATCATCTCGCGAAATTTGTCTCCTAAATGCCTTATTCAAATTTATTAAAGGGACTAATTAATTTAATTAAGTGTTTAGCAAGTATTGTGATTTTATTTGCAAGACTGACAAATAGTTCGATAGTACAGTTTCCACGAATATAAATATCTCCAATCCTTTCTAACCACTGGTTCCTGGTACTTCTAGAATTCTACAATGGCCACAATCAACAGTCAAAGACTTTATTGTACTGGTGCCATATTTCGTCCTGACGAATATAAAATATTTTCTAAAGCAATCCTACTTTGTCTAATCGCTACTTGGTCGTTCAGCATGTATAACACATCTCCAAGTCATCTTTATCGATGTAGCTTCAAATTTCGTGTTACCATGGTTCTCCAAGAAAACCGGTAAAACTGAACAGTATACCATATATATATATATATGCACCTGGATTCCACAGTGAGTGATAACGTTCCTACAAGAAGCCAGCATGTTAACCTGAGACCAAACAATTCGGGCCAATCAATCGATGGGAAAATATAAAATTGAATTAAGCAACAAAATTCTGTCTCTCAAAGCACTAATCTGTTTTCACTTTTTCTGGAATAATGACTGACTGGTTTCAATACAGAACTTTGCATAGAACTGCACTAGTCCGAGTTGCCACAATCCCTCCATATAGCACAGAAAGCAAGAGAAGAGAGCAGAGAGAGAGAGAGATTCAAAACAGAGGTAATAAACAGAATTATGAGTGAGGGGAAAAGAATAGCATTATGGATAATATAAATCACCAAGAGTGAATGCATCTACGCCAGCCATTGAGAACGATTTTGAGCCATATCACCATTTGTTTCTATTAATTGATTCTTATCATCCCTAGGACATCAATCAGACTGGCAGTCAACACTTCCCTACGTCCCTGAATCAAAACTAACTGTTGTGGATTTCATTGACTGATGAAGTCATGTTTTAATTTGACCATCACTAGCTTTTTTGCAACCTGATGGATCCTATGTCAGCTAACAATGCTTGTCTAGGAAGGCGATGGCTAGGCATGTGTAACACATGTCTTAACTATCTCACTCGGCGTAACTTTACAACTTAGTAAATTGACCTTGTCTCCTCACCTAGCACTCGACCGAAGCCTAACATCCATATATCGCTTATCCTATTATACCACCTAACACAGGAGGTAGAACTTAGAACAATTTATTAATTCAACAATAATGTGTGACAAACAATATTACAATAATTTAATAAGAAGTAAACCTTTTTTTACATATATCAGGGTAAAGTTAAACCAAATATCTTACTTTTCTTAACCATTTTGGAGGTTGTTGAGTTTCTGCTGTTCGAAAATGCAAATTAACTGTGATACAGCATAAAAACATAGAGACTGTAATTATGCCCATATTGAAACAATAATATGCACCTGAAAAGAAGGCAGAAATAAATGAAACATGCTACATTTTAAATATATAGGCATATATGTATATATAACCTCTTATAGCAGACGTATGAAATGATTCAAACGCTCAGGAGTTAGTTTTAGTCTCCACCCTTCTACCTTCTGCAGAGAATTAAAACATCTAACATTAGGTAGTTGGAGGCAATCGGCAGGAAGCCTTGTGCCTAAATTTCATGCTTGTAGGCAATCTCCAGTCAGAAAGACATATCTTCAGTCATGAAAGAACTCATATGCCTCCTGAGATTTGAACCTTGGTCACCCAGTGCAGCAAAACAGAGATATCTGGCCTCGCAATCAACCTTGTGTAGGACTCTAATAGATTCTTTCATTGGACCTTAGGTGGTAATTAATGTCATGAGTTAAGTCCTTCGTTTTAGTACAGACTGAAGCTTTCAATGTGACCACCATACTTAGTGGTTCGCCATCGCAGTCCACTCTTCATTGATATTAGATTATTATTATTGTTTCCTTGGGTTCCTAGTGGAACATAGGGCTTCAACTGCACGTCTCCACTTGCTACTGTCTGTCTTCTACTGTACTTTTCACCTGCATCCATCTTAGTCCATATTGTTTCAGCTCCTCTTCACACGATCTCCTCCATGTCACTCTTGCACTGACGTCCCATTCGCCGCTTCCCTTTCGGCCTGGTTTCACTCTAGCAATGGCCTGACGCGCGCGCAATGTCACTCAGTGTCCAATCCATCTCCACTTTCTCCTGATATCTGTTGGTTGGCGATTGGTTCTTGTTTTGTTTGTTCCCATAGTTTCTTGTTGGTGATTCTTCCCGGCCCGGCGCTCTGATCTTCAGTATAGAGAGAAGACAGTTGTTGATAAAGGTCTGCAACAGGCCAAGTTTCTGTCTGATCCATATAGAAGAGCTGACTGACTTGACGTTTGTATTGAAGATCCGAATTTTGTTGTTAGATGGTCGGAGGAAATTAACAGGAAACCTTCGACATAAGGTTTTATGCTAGTCGTCTCACATCAACAAGGCGCATCTGCACTCCTGAAGAAACTCGTGTCTCTTCTAAAATATTCATGTAGATTTTATTGAAACGTCTCATAGAACACAAAATCATCACAAAGTCTAGTCAGAATAATAAAGATCACCTTGTATTATTCAATTCACATGATACGAGAGAGATAAATTTTGTTTGTTTTCATTCCCCCCCCTCCTGTCCCAGTTTTCACAGTCTACTAATTTCATTCATCCTCTGAAATGTTTTCTTCAAAAGAATTTAGATTAAAAGACATTTATTATTTATTAAATCCTAGACAACACTTTCATATCATCATTAATCTTCAGTAATAATAGTAATAATAACAATATTTCTCAAATAATGCGCCTATTTTTGTTGTTTATTTATGCGTTAAAATTTCTCCTTTCAACAATTAAAACAAAACAGATATTCAACAGCCAATTTTTTTCTAATGCTTTGAATGTTTCAATAGTCAGCGTTATTGTGATGACGATGATGATGATGATGGTGATAGTCATAATAAATTTTGTCAAAGATATTTCAAAAGAAATTGAAACATAAACATGTCTCGATAATAATAATAATAATAATAAAGCTTTATTTCAGACAGTATGTGAGCATAGAGTACACAAATTTTCAGCATATTTTGGTTCGAAAATATTTCAAGGATTTATATGTAAAGCAATAATCTGAAGTATGTCGTGTGATGCAGTATTATTGCATGTGAAGTGAGAACTAATTCTGTTTTCTGTTTTTTCCCATTTCATTTCCTTCAAGAATTGCACAGTATGTTGTTGAAAGTAATTTAAATATGCGCACGTTTCTATATTGTGATTATTTGATATAATTGTATGATTAAAACAATAGGGAATGAACTTGTTTATAAGGGTGAAAATATTACAGCAATTGTCAACAGGAGATTGAGGAAGTCACTAGCCAGAGCCTATCCTGCAGCTATGTTGGTTCCCGTCTATCGAACAACTTGCTCTTTGGTGCAGTCACAAATAGACTGATACCCTTCTCACGTTAACTCCAACTGTATATACAAATTTACATATATCTGAGGGAGCAGTTACATTGGAAGGACAGAAAGAAGGGCATATCTACGATTTTTGAAGATGTACCAAAAAGCTTATGTTTAAAGGGAACAAATGCTTTAAACCATGCTATCGCCAGACTTCTCCTTGACACGGGTCATGAGGTGGATGTCACAACATCGTTCAAAATTATCAGTAGGTAAAAGAGTTGAGTTCTCCTTAAGTTTGCTGAAACAGTCTTCATCAGGCGCCTGAAGGCCGATTTATATGTTCAGAAAGAAGCAGTTATTAGTCTTTCTTTGCTCTTGTAAATGGATATTTTCGCCTCTCCTTCATCTGATTACGTAATATCGAAGGTTTCCATTGTATATGATCATCATTGTTCGGAATAGTGTTCAATATTATATATATATATATATATATATATATATATATGTATATATATATATAATTACTGTATGCATATATTGATTGATTTTTGTTTAAAAATGAACTCTGTGCAAGTATGTAAAAATTGTTTCTGTAGATATACTTAATGATGTCTTTGGGCTGTGAGCAAGCAGCTGACAAGAAGCCAACGAAATAAACAATGATGGTACCATTTAATTCTGCATAAAGTGTTTTTTTTTTTTTAAATTCAGTAAGAGGAATAAATGTATGGAATAGTGAAAAGTTTAAGCAGCATTTTGATGGATGCAAGTTCTGGTCGCCCAGGGATGATTTAAGCAGACCACCATAGACAGTCTGCCCCAACTTGAAGTAAGAAGATGGGTTGTACAAAAGTTAATAGTGTCTGATTCCTAATAAAAAGCAGATTATAAAAATCTCCATGATATAATTATGAGCAATAAAGTGCTCTCGAAATTTCACTGGTTATTAATACTGGAACACTGCCTGCATAAGTGTTGTTATTAAATATAATTATTATTATTATTCTATGATGTAGGTGTACTCTACCAGAATGCTCAAATTGTGTTCTTGTAAAAGTAGAATTTTGTACTCAATTCTAATCCTTCTTATTGGGATTAACTAATACTTATTGCTGTTTAAGTATTCGAACAAGACATATCAGAGAATTAGATCTTCTTCAGGCTTTACTCTAATTTACATAGATTTATATATAACGCTGATTTTGTGGACCAAATAATAATAATAATAATAATAATAATGTGGTAAATGTTTTGAACGTTATTAATAACGATAATTATAATGATAACCAAATATTGATAATAAGGTTTATGCAGATGGCGATAAGAAGATGAAGTGGACAGATAATCAGAGTTTAAATAAAAAATATCATAAAAGTACGAAGGGGATGGAAAATAAGAAAGTGTGGGAGGGTTTTGATTAGAATTCACAAGAGTAAGACATTAATTGCTTAACATAACAATTATTGTTATTGTTTCCTTCAGTTCCTAGAGGAACATAGACATTCAGCCACACATCTCCATTGCCTCCGGTTCTCTGCCAGCGTTTTCACGTTGAATCCACGTCTGCTCACATGCTTTCATCTCTTCTTCACATAACTACCCCATGTCACCCTCGTACTGACGATAAACTCGCCTCTTCCCGTTCGGGTTCCACTCGAGCGATAACATGACATGTGATGCCACTTGAAGATGGTTCGTTGTCTTAGAGTATGGCCAATCATACCAAGTTACCACTCTTTTTACTTCGAGTTCCTTAATCAGTACTTTCAGGTTAGGCAGAGTACTGATCAGGGTTAACTGAGGAAAGCAAGTTTATTAGGTTCTGACGTTAAGGACTGTCTAGAGGTTGACCGCGGCACTTAAAAGTCTACAGAATGGCAACAAATAACTTACACCCACCGAGGTGTGAGCCCGGAACCTTCTGGTTTTTAAGGCAAGCCTGCAGAACATTCTGCCACTGGGATTCTATCAGATATCTGGCGACTTCCAACCTCTACCAACTCGTGAATTTAGCGCAGTCACCAGCCACTATCATCAGTGGATATGAGGGACCTTACTGGTCACGACTTTTTACTTAAACTACAGGCGTTTTCGCCCTGTAATCAAGTATTTCTTAACCTGAAGGACCTTGGTTAGATCTCTAATGAAGTCGTTAGTGTGCTGTTTTGGAGTGTCCCAAATTAGAATGAAACAACTGTTCGGTACTACTTTCAAACGCATCTAATCCCTTACGTAAGGATGATTAAATACTGAGCAGCAAAATTGAAATAGCAAGTGAAATATAAGTTTCTTGGCAAGAGGTCATTTATCAGCAATCACCCTGTCAGGATTTATCCAGGACTAGCTTATGAGGTTTGGGAATGTGAACAAATAATGCAATCAAACATTTAATTTTTAATAAACACATTAATTGTGAACCAAAGGAGTACAAATATCTTTTCCACAATAAATTAGGTGTTGTTAAAAGCCAAGTCGCAATTTGTGACTGTAAATGACAGGCAAGAAATACATGACAGTGTATTTTCTCACTTGGCGACACCAAGTAAAATGTGGCAGATATTCTGTCTTCATAAGCAAACTAATTCAAACTAATACTTGTATACCGAAAAAGCGTATGATCAACCTTGCATTACCAGATGTTTTTGGGCTCATCAAAATCTTTAACTAGTGTTCGTTTCTACCCACTAAGCTGAAATCATTATTAACCTTTGCAGTCTAAAAGGCAAAGACTACCCTTGAGCTAGAGAGAAAATTTAGAAGACAACTCGGCGGAGAAACTTTTTAATGGCGAAGTCATATTTATATATATACTGAACCCTAAAGCAGTCAGTTGTGAAGTAATAAGAGGTATATGGGGCATATTTTATATGATTACTCAGAAATGGTTTCTACAGCTTAAAATCACTGTTAAATAAGGAGCAAGATAGTGAAGTGTCTTCTTGATTAATATAAAGAATGTTGGAAAAGGCTGGTAAAATGCACAAAACATGACTTCGT